TGTTTCTGTGCAAGTTGGCTCGCGCGTTAAAGCGCGAGCCAAAAAGTGTTTTCGGGTACATTATGAAGGGGAAAGGTGTACAACCTGACAAGTTGAGGAATGTCCATCCGTAGAAAGTTAACTAGTCACATCATCCAAAAATTCATTTGTCCTCCAGAAAAGAAACCCCATTTAAAGAAAAATATAAAGGAAAAATTGCTTCAGTACAGTTGGAGCGGAGGGTGAGTACGCTTGTGTTGATCTCACAGGGGTGTCTCCGTTGGTGGGGTTTGGTAATGGAAAGTTCAAGGTTGGGCATGCAGCGGATAGAGCAACAGAGGCAAAGGTGGGCAAACATGATCAAGCTGTTAGACCCTAGAGGAAGGGTGATTAGGGTCTTATGCTAATCTAATCTGATTTTATACCAATTAAAACTAATACAAATATATTCTTGCAAGATAGATATACAAGAGATATAAGCAAGAATAAGCAATATGAACAAAGGTAAATATCCTAGCAATGAGATATACTATGGGATATATGCAAGGATATATAATCACAAGGGTAAACAATCTAAACTAGATAGTGGGCAATATAATCAACAAGCAATATACAAAGGTGATATAAGATATGAACATAAAAGTAAGTGCGCCAATGCAATCACAAACAAATGATATGATTACGGAGTTCGGTCCCCACGACCTACGTCTCCGCTCCTCACCTCGATGAGATCTCCACTATCACAACCGGGTTTTTTATGTTTACCCGAACAACGTTTACACTGTGAATGTGGGGCCCATGAACCACGTGAATAAAAAGAAACCGCGTGAAGGAAGTTGGTTGCTGTGCGTAGGCCCACCCGGAAACCCGATTCTGCATAGGCTATAAATAGCCTAGGGTTTCATGAGCACAATGTGTGCGAAGGAGGAAATTACAGAAGAAAAGTCGACTCTTTTTTCTCTTGGCAGCGGATGGAACTGCGGAAGGAAAAACGAAGCCGCTGTTTTTAGGTTTTTTGTGTATCCTTGAGAGAATATTTGTGTGAGGGATCTGAGAGTTTGTGAGAGGGTTTTATTTGTGAGATTGTAAACCCTAATTGTATCTCTCCCTCTATTAGTAGATCTCCCCCCTCCTTGCCCCGTGGACGTAGGCTATTTACCGAACCACGTAAAATTTGTGTTCTTGTCGTGATTTGTAATAGCTTGTAGGATCCCTCGACGCGCAGTCCTAGAGCTGACGAGAGGAAGAGGACCGCAATCAAGTTAGTAGATACAGTCTTCTGCTCCGGCTTCAGAGTAAGCACATTAGCATTCACCAAGTTTTGCAAGATGTCTTTAAAGACATAGCACTTTCTGGTAGGATGTCCCAAAAACCTATGATAGCGACAGTAATTGGGGTCATCTACCTTCCCTGCTTCATCTGGTTTTCTGATTTCAGGGATGTCGTGATTTGTAATAGCTTGTAGGATCCCTCGACAGGTCAGTCCTAGAACTGATGAGAGGAAGAGTCAATATCTTACTTTATTGAGATATCCGCTTTAAATTCTTGTTTCCTTGGTGAGACAGGAATTCTTACGATCTAATCTCTTGTTGTGCACCTTGTGTACCGGAGGTGCTGCCGAAATTTCCGCTGCGCACAACAAGTGGTATCAGAGCCCCGGATTGGATTTGGGGCTTGTTCGAAGGATTCTCTGAAGAATTCCTATTTGAAGAATTAGATCGATAACATGGAAGAAACAAGCACATCGGGATCGACTCTTTCGAAGGCGATACAGAGTTTGAGCATCAATAATACAAAAATTGATGTTCCGAAATTCGACGGCAAGATCAATTTCGGTTTGTGGAGGTGTCAGGTGATGGACGCCTTAGATGCACAAAATTTGGAGGAGACTCTTGTTCAGGGAGCTGCAATTTATTGTTCTTCCGAAGTAGTTGGAACAGAGTGTCCACATGCTCTTCTTTAAAAGAATATTGTTTAGGCGCTCTTTGCTGATTTGGCGTCTTGCCTTGCTTGGTAGGCGGTGGTACTTGCG